TACACAACAATAGACTTCTACATCATTTAGACTACTTCGAGACGACACATTAAACTAAATAAATACGGATAGCTATGTCAACAAGAACAACACCATCAAAGACTTTCATCAACAAGATGATCAAGTCAAGCTTCTTAGACATCCTAGCTTCAAAGCCTTCAATTTCAGTAGGTGTACCATAAGTCGTCTCTTCTACGTCTTCTTTCCATTTAAAATACATGCAATCGTCTTCCGTTCGATTATTCATGCATCTATAAAATTGCCTTCTAGAGTTGGGTCCACGGTAGCAAGTATATAACGCACACTTAAGATGACAGTAGCAATAAACTTAACAATGTGGGCGCCTCGTAGCAGAAGAATGTGTTGATATCATTTGAAATGGGCACAATCTATGAACAAATTTGCATTAAACTGAATAAATCCTACATATGAAAGCCAGTATGACAACTAAATAAAGAAATTATTTTTCTTTGAAGTCAACATTAGGATAACCAAATATGGTGTAAATTAACAAAACAAAATGTAAAACAGGTGATAGAGAAGCACACAAACCTGCTCCGGCTATAGGTTTGGGAAGACTTTTTTCTTATAGAACTTTTATAATATCTGAAAATAAAATGAGCAGACCTAACCTGAAATAAAATGTAAATTAAAAAAGATAGAACTTATCACAAAATACAGAAATCTTAAAATCTTAAAATATGAAAATATAGAAATCTGAAAATGAGCAGATCTAACTTGCTCCGGCTAAGAAGACTACAACATCTACATATCTAACCTCACATCACAAACGACGAATGAGAACCTAAAGAAATAATGGGGGAAAATAAAAGAAATGGTTGAGTTTAGGGTGCAAAGAGAGGAGCAGATCTTACATTCAGGTGGTACAAAAAGCAAAGAACGAGGGGAGTTCGGTGGGAAGAGCCAAAGGAGCACGCAAGTTAGGGATTTTAGAAACAGAGTGAGACGGAGTGGCATTTCTGAGGTTAAGTTTGTGTTTGAGTGGTATATATGAAATATTTAAGTTTTGGGTGTTAAATATGTAATACACATGTTATAAAGTGGTATGTATGTAAAAATCCCTATTTTAAATACTTGATTCTTAAATAAATAAGTTTGAATAATAATGTGTTCGGCTCATTTATGTTCACGAACAACAACATTTGAAGCTCATGAACAAGCTTGACTTTAAGCTCGATAAAAACTTGATTCGTGAACAGATTTTTCATGAACAAATATAAGATGAATCATAGATTATTTGTTCGTGAACGAGCTCATTTGGTAGCTCAAAAACACTAGTTATATATATTCATGATCTTGCTCATTTGTTAGCTCAAGAATACTCATTAGATATGTTCATGAATGTGCTTGTCTGATAGTTTAAAAAATTCATTAAATATGTTCATGAACACAGCTCATTAAGACTTGTTTGTTTAAAGCTCGATAAGCACTAAACAAACCGAACATAAACTGAACTTGAACACCCATTAAATTAAACGAACCAAACATGAACATTAACAATAAAGCTCGAATCAAATACGAACCAAACTTAAACAAGTTGATAATAAATGAACTCAAACATGAACACTCACATACTCGACTCAGTTGAGTTCATTTACAGCCCTATGAATTACAATGCGATGGTGCAATCAAATTGAGTTTTCTTAATTTTCGTCATATTGTTTTACAGTTCATTAAGGGTAATCATTCAAGTGGGTTGGTACGATAATAATTTCACTTCATACTGTACGAACACACTTGTTCATATTATATGATCCATTTAGTTAAAAAGTGTACAGATGACTCTTAGGAATGAATGAAATCTCTTAAGATCATCCAATACAATAATAATCATACTGTATTATTTGACCACTTTTTTCCAACAGATCTAATTGCTCCAGAAAAATCTTTAAAATAATACAAGTGTGAACCTCGCTCTCATGAATTTATGATTCCCTTTAATTCTCCCAGAGGTATATTGAGTTTAAAATTTAACCAGATTTCCCCTAAAAATAATATCATTATTTATTTAGATATATGTTCTACTTTCTATGAGCGCAAGCCTTCATAGTTAATTACCCCTCCTAATCCATTAGAAGAGCACTCTCGATTAAGGATGAAATATACTTAGCTTCGTGTAATGAGTGTTAGAATGTGCAATAAAATTTTAAACTTAATTATAGGGGATGAAGGTACACCCGATCAAGATCCCATTGTTCCATCATCCCGGGTATAATATGGGTTCAATCTTCCAACACTAATAACCATTTATTATAGTGTCCAGGGAATCTGATTAGCAGCTATGGATTGCCTCCTCTCAAGAATCCCGAGTAAACTGAAGTGGAGATTATGAATTTTAAATTTAATTTAATTTGGGTTGAGACTTATAACTTCCTTAAAAGTTGCTCGTTAATTTATTTAGTTTGGGGCTTTTGGCTCTAATTAGGAGTTGCTCGTGTTAGTGGGTTTGAATTTGGGTTGGGGCTTACAGCCTTCATTTGTAAGTAGCCCAGATAATGGATCTTATGGCCTCTATTAAAGGTGGCCTGAAGAATTTTTGATATAAGTGGGTCTTATGACTTCTATAAGAAGTAGCCCGAAGATTAATTTTGGGTATGAGTGGATCTTATGGATTCTATAAGAAGTGGTCCATTGGTGGGTCTTACAACCTAGCCCTATGGACTAGGATGTCCGGGTAAGAGGTCTAGGATTATATTATTACTTAAATATTTTCCTCAAGTATCATACTTATGGCTTCTATTAGAAGTGGACGAGTTTGGAGGTGTATCGAGGATTAAATGTTAGGTTATTTTTACCTAAGATTTCCCCTAAACTCGGACTTATGACTTTCATTTGAAAGTTGTTGGGTTGTGGGTCTTATAACCTAGTTCTTATTAATAAGGTTGCCCATTTGGGTTTTGCATTTGGATATAGAGACATTCATTTAGAAGTTCCCTAGTACGCGCGAGTCTAACTGTTTCACTTGGAAATAACCTAAGTGGCGAGTCTTACAACTTCATCCTATAGGCTAAGATGTCCAATAAAGGATTTGTAGATTTTTGCTAGTTTAACACTAGGTTGTGGTCTTGACACCCACTTGCTAGCATTTTGTTTTCTATCCTAGATTTCAATAGTGTGTTTGTTATTTTGTTTTGTGCTCGTAGTTTATTTTAACTACAATAGAATGTTGCTCTATTGGTTTTCCAGCACTATTTCTTTATTAGCTTTCCTGTACTTTGCATTACTTGCAGTAGTTAGAATTTCTCTTTTTCAGCATTGATTTTATTTATGATTTCACTGACTTTTATCTACTTGTTTACATATGTTCGTAGCCAGTAGTTGCAATAGCAAGAGCTTGCAGCCACAGATGATGTAGTTGTAGGGGCTAGAGCCTACTAGGAGGACTTTGCCAAGTGTCAAGGCTTGGAAAAATTATTCCGTCAGCTTACTTGATGTAGAACTACATCAGGTAGCCTATAATATGTCGCCATGTGCGCTTACTCTTTACCACGCGGCCCGATGACCCGACTCGGACCGAATCCGGTGAGGGAGGCAGCAAACCTGCGATTGGAAAATATGCTAACCTGCGATTTTGGGTTATGTAGTCGGAGGTGAGGCTCGCTGGTGAGGGAGGCAGCAGATCAGACGACACGGAGGCGGCTAAGGCCAGTCGGAGGAAGGTGCAGTCGCGGTTCGTGCGGCTCAGGATAGTGCCGCCGAGGAAGGTGGTCGGGTTCATGCCTGTAGATCAGGACGGTGTTGCCAATTGGTTTGGAGACGAAGCGAGGCTGCTGGCTCTTTCGCAAGATTGGAGGTCGGGCGTGTGACCGGAGGCCCACGGAGATGTGCGATCGCGGCTTGATCACCTAAGCAAGAGAATCTCTTGAAAATTCCAATTGCCAGTACGCATAACTCCCTTTTCATTTTCTTGTTTTTGTTTTATATGAACACATCTAGGGATGTAAACGAGTCGAGCTCGAGCTCGATTAGTGGGCTCGAGATCAACTCGTTTAGAAAATATAAAGCTCGAGCTCGACTCGAAAGCTTGAGCTCGTTTGAAAAGCTCGAGCTCGTTTGAGAAGCACCAACGCATGTGATGCTTATTATTATATAAAAAAATTAATAATATTTTCTCGGGTTTAGCTCGAAACTCGAGCTCGTTTATCATACGAGCTCGATTGTAGGCTCGAGCTCGAAGCTCGATAAGCTCGGCTCGCGAGCTTGTTAACGAGTCGAGTTCGAGCCGGCTCGGCTCACTTACACCCCTAAACACATCAGTGTTTTTTTTTTTTTTAATTGAGGGCTTAGCCCATTCTATTAAAAGAATAAGGATTACAAAAATGCATCAAAAAAGGCTTAGCCTACAAAAAGAGGCTGAAACAAAATGGAAAAGAACAAATAAATACAACTCAGCAAATAAAATAAAAACCAAAACAGACAAAAATTCTATCTAGTGGGGAGTCAGAACGATCACGTACGATTATAGTAGAAATCCTTCCATCCTTCGATTGCCCTAAGACCATCCAAAAAGAGCTAAAATATGTCATCATTGTACACGACCCAAGCGTTATGGACGACGGCTGCCAATTTTAATTATTATTTTACTCTTCATATGGCATTTGAGATCCATATCCATACTGGGACGAGTGGCAGAACAACTGTTGCTGGCTTCAAATTAATAAACAGCATAGGCCTTTTTCAACATGATTTTATTAATATATTATTTATTTTTATATAAGAAAAAAATTTATGTCACAATCCTTCTAACTTTTTCAGAACTGCAGTTAACATTTCTTTTTTTTAAGAAGCCGTAAACAGTATCCTGAGCCCCACCATTCTTTTGAGAACGTAATCTGGCACCCTTGTATATCCTTACATTGAGTTTGCTGTCCCGTTCTGCTAGGGTTTTCTACCTTAGCTCCTTCCCGCCCACAAGCTTGCTTTTTTCCCGCCACCTCGTGGGGAGAGGGGTTTCTCCCCTCCCCTCCGCCCACTTTTTGATGGCTTCCTCCTCCTACAACATGCATTTCCCGCCTTTGCCTGGAGGCCCATCCTCCTCCTTGCTCCCTGTTTTCTCTAACCCGATCGGGTTAAACTTTGTCTCAAACCTAACCAAGGAAGATCCTGTTGCCAGTGATTTTTCACTATCCTTCCATCCCCCTGCTCCTAAGGTTCCTTTTTCTACAGATGAGCTTGCTCTTGGGCTCCCTGATTGGGGCTCTTGTCTTGTCGGGTACTCTATCGGCCCCCGACCCACCTACCTCAGCCTTCTCAATGTGGTGAAGCGTGCTTGGAACCCTAAAGGCTCGGTCGATCTACTCTCGCTGAATGATGGCTTCTTCCTTTTCAAGTTTTCAACTCCGGATGACTACCAAGTTGCATGGACGGGAGGACCCTGGTTCTTCTTTGGCCGGCCATTCATCTTGCAGAAATGGACACCAAAGTTCAAACCTAAAAGAGATGAGTTTTCCTCTATCCCTCTTTGGATAAAAATTTTTGATTTACCTCTAGCTGTTTGGAACCCGACTGGTATTTCTAAGATTGCGAGCTTTGTGGGTCATCCGCTTGCGGTGGATGCTCTCACTGCTAGGAAAACTAGACTTACCTATGCTAGAGTTTGTGTGATGGTATCCTGTAATTCCCCTCTGCCTGATGAAATTCCTGTTTCTCTTGATGGCGATGATGTGAATTTAAAAGTCTTGTATGACTGGAAGCCTTCCCCGTGCTCTGGCTGTGGCTCGTTTGTCCATCCCTCCTCTCTTTGTCACATTAATCCCCAGCCAAAACCCCCCACGGCTCCTGGTCACGAGAGAAGCTCCTCCCGTACTCGGGTTCCCCGTCTCCCCTCAGCTTCTAAACCTCCCCTTCTTCCTCCTAATACGCCCAGAATCATCCCTCCTCCACCAAATACCACTCCACCAATCACTACCCAACCCATCCTTCCCCCCCTGCGTCTTTTTTGCCCGCTGCTGATCAACAGATTTCTGTGGCCTACCCGCCGCGGTCGGAATTACCTACTACTTCTAAGCTGATACCCCCCCCCCCTCTGGTTACTACTGCCCCCCTGGATATCCCCTTGGATCCTTTGCCCAATTTGAACTCCCCCGTAGATGAGCTTTCTTCGTCTGATAATTCCCCTTTGATTACCAGCATATAACCTCCTTCTTCCATCATCCTCAATGGTACCTCCCCTCATCCCCCCTTTCCTTCAGGTACCATTGTTCTTCCTGCAGACCCACCTATCTCCTCTCCCAATAGGTTTGCTCTTCTGCAACTTGAAGATGAACCACCCGACATTGAGACTTCTACCTCTGTCTGTCCCCCAAAAACCCAGAAAAATAAAAACCCAGCTAGCAAAAACAACACTGCCAAATCTGGCAAGAAGACCCGTCCCTCCAAATCAAATTCAAAATGACCCATGGTCCTATTGGCTGCTGGAACGTCAGGGGATTTAACTCGCCTGATAGAGTTCTTGACTGTAAGAAATTTATTTCTTCTCTTCACCTTGACATGCTTTGCATCTTGGAGGCAAAGATCCCCTCCATCTCTATGGCTGATAAGTGGTTCACCAACTCCCACAGACTTTTTGAGGATGAATTATCCTGTAACAATTTTGACTGCTTTTCCCCTGGACGCATTTGGATTAAATGGAATTCCAGGAATATTTCATTTAGTCTCTCTATTACTACCTCCCAGCTTATTCACGGTGTTGTGAGCTCTCCTACTGTGCCCCCTATTTTTCTTAGTGTGATCTATGCATCCAATACTCCTTTGGAGAGGTCGTCTCTCTGGCAACAATTACTCAACATTCCCCCTACAATTAATTCTCATTGGGCCATTCTTGGAGATTTCAATTGCTGTAGGCACTTGGAGGAAAAATAGGGTGGCAGACCCATTCCTCATAGTCGGTTGGAGGAAATGAATAATCGGAATTTCAAGGCTGCTCTTTTGGACTTGCCCTCTTCTGGTCTTTTTTACACTTGGTATAATCAGAGATCTGAGGATCCCATTCATATTAAGCTAGATCGAGTGTTGGTTAATTCAGAATGGTTGAATTCGTTCCCTTCTTCTTACTATAGAGTGGAATCCCCTTCTTGCTCGGATCATTCTCTGTTGGTGCTTTTTTCTGGCAATTCTACCTCTAACTTTACTAGATTTCAATTCAAGAACTATATGGTGAATTTGGATGCTTTTTGGGAAGGTTTAATCTCTGTTTTTGCCTCTAAAAACTCGGGTACCCCTATTGCTGCTCTGTATTCTAAGCTCCACAATCTCAAAGATCTTATTAAATGTAAGAAGTGGTCCAATTCTTCTTTTCTTTCCAATAAGATTAAAGAGCTTCAAATGACACAGGAGTCTTGCTATACCCGCGCTCAATCAGATCCTCTGAATTTGGCTATCAACATGGAACTTAAAGATATAAACTCTACTCTCTCTTCCCTTCATAAAGCCTGGGCTTCTTGGGTTATCCAGCGGGCCAAAGCCAACTGGCTTTCTAGAGGGGAGGATGATTTGGGTTTTCTGTTTGCTAGAATTAAATCTAGAAATTCTAGTAGTCGGATTAAAGAAATCACTACTGAGAATGGGCACTTCACTACTAGGGGAGATATTGCTAACGCTGTTGTGGATTATTTCCAAAGACTTTATAATTCTCCCAAGTCTTCTAATACTAGGAGTGGGCTTATTCCTGTAGGCTCTACTATCCCTCTTCATCTTGTATCTCCTCTCATTTTGCTGGTTACTGATATGGAGATTAGGAGTGTTATTTTTGCTAGTTCCTCCTCTAAGGCCCCGGGGCCTGATGGTTTTACTTTTGAGTTCTACAAAATAACTTGGGATATCATTGGGAGCCAAGTTTGCTCGGCTGTTAAGTATTTCTTCTCTACTGGTTTGCTGCCTAGGTGTGCTGAAGCTACTGCTTTAGCCTTGATTCCTAAGGGAACTCATGCTGCCTCTTTCATGGATTACCGTCCCATTTCTCTTTGCAATGTTTTTTATAAAATTGTTGCTAAATTTATCGCTAACAGAATGAAAGAGGTTATGCCTTTTATTATTGATAAGAGCCAAGCGGGTTTCATTAAGCATAGAATCTCTACATACAATATTGTTCTTGCTGCTGATGTGCTTAGAGATTTTAATTCCAATCCAAGAGAGAAGTTCATGTGTGCCAAATTAGACATCCGTAAAGCGTTTGATAATGTTTCTAGAGAGTTCCTTCTCTCTAGGCTTCTTGAAAAAGGTTTTCCTTGCCAATTTGTAAAGTGGATTGAGGGTTGCATCAAGGATGTCTTTTTCTCTGTGTATATTAATGGGGGACTTGAGGGATTCTTTAATTCCACCAACGGGCTCAGGCAGGGATGCCCTCTGTCTCCTTTACTCTTCTCTATTGTCATGGATGCCTTCTCTTGTGAGATAAACAATAGCAATTTCTCGGGTATTACTGCTGAGGGTTTTACTGTTAAGCATCTTCTTTATGCTGATGATTTATTGATTTTTGGCCGAGCCTCTTTACCTAATGCTAATGACCTTAAAAGCTCTCTGGATCACTTTGCTGAGCACTCTGGTTTAGTGATTAATAATGCTAAATGCTCAATCTTGTTCTCTGACAATGCCCCTGCTGCTGCAGATATCACTTCCTTACTTGGCTTCTCTCCTGCTGAAAACTCATTAACTTACCTTGGCCTCCCTATTTCCACTAAAAAGCTTAATGCTACTTACTTCTAACCACTTTTGAGTAGGCTCTCTACTCTACTTGCTGGTTGGAAAGTTAAATTCTTGTCTTTTACAAGTAGAATCCAGTTTTTAAAGTTCACTATTATTAATACCATCGCCTATTGAATCAGGGGGTCTATTATACCCAAATCTATTTCTAAAACCATTGACAAAATTTGCTCTAAATTTCTCTATCATGGTCTTGGCTCAGATATGAAATTGCACCTACTCTCTTGGAAGAATACTTGTACTCCAAAGTGCTTCGGTGGACTTGGTCTCCCCTCCATTGACTCCTTGTATTTTGCTTATGGTTGTTCTTTCATTTGGAGGTTCTATAATGCTGACACACTTACTGGTTGCTGGTTTAGAAAGAAACACTACTCCCCTTGGAGGCCTTTGGGTCCCAAAGTCTCTAAATTTTGGAAAGGGATTTGCTCTGTTGCTAATAAGATAAAAGGGTTGGTTAAGCTTCATGTGATCAAAGAGAATTGTTTTCTTTCCCTTTTTTGGGATCCCTGGTGTGATGGTTCTGCTATTTTCGATATTTCTCTTGATAACAGTTTAAAAGGGTTTACTGTTAATGATTTTATTGTGAATGGTGATTGGTTTCTCCCTTATGATTGGGATCAAATGTTGTTGGACACAATTCGGCCCATTATTATTAATCCAGCATCTCACCCTCTCATTACCTGGATCAACTGTGAAAAATCGTGTTTTAATACTTTTTATATGCAATATTTTGCTGAGATGGATAAAGTTATTTGGACTAAGTATGTTTGGCATCGTAAATTTGCTCTCAGACATTCTGCCTATGCTTGGTTTGCATTTTCTGGTGGTTTAAAAATGGCGGATGCTCTTGCTAGAAGGAACATTTTTATTCCTCCCTCTTGTTCTTTTTGCAACTCTGATTTGGAGGGAATTTCACATTGTTTTTTCCAATGTGACTGCACGTTCTTGGTTATTTCTACCCTCCTTCCTTCTCTTCAGAATTTTCTCTTGCGTCCGACCCTGATTCAAGTTTTTAAATCCTTTGAAGAAAATCTATTGCTGAATGCTTTTGAGAAGGATTTCTGTTATTTTGTGATCTGTTGTTCAATTTACTACTTATGGAGAGATCGAAATGATGTTCGTTTTGGCAATGCTGATTTTTCAGTGGACTCCTCGGTGAGGAGAATTAGGCGTGCTATATTTGCCAAGGTCTCTACCTGGAAATTTTTTGATGTGCTGCAGGACAATTATCCGTTTTGCTTCAGTGGATGGTGATTTCTGCTCACCTGCTCTGTTCTTTTTTTTTTTTTTGGGGGGGGGGGGGGGTTTTTGGGGGGGGGGGGGGAGATTTTTATCTTCCCCCACCGGATGATGATGTGCCGAACTATCAAACAGGTCTGTTCCCTTGGATGGCCTGCTGTGCCCAGCTATTCTACTGTCAGTTGGATTATTTATTCTGTTGGCAACCAAGGTGTGTGGGTCACCTTTGGGATGCGAAGAGACGCATGACACCCCTTGACCCCAGCGACGACTGCGACGTGACCTGGCATCAGGACGCGAAGATATCAGGCAGCCGGGGCAGCCGGGGAAAGCGGGCAGGGTCATTCTAGGTAGACGGTTTTGTGTGCATTTCGGGTCATTCCCGGGTTCCCGGGGGTCAACCCGAACCCGTCCCGATTTTTCAAACGGGTCGATTTTCAGGACCCGACCCACTTCGGGTTTGGGTCGGGTCCAATATTGAGTGCCCTAGCTCCTCAATCACTATGGAATATTAAGAAATTAGGAATGTCAAATCACCTAACCATTCTTTTATTATTTTTTTATCATATCGTGAAAGCAGACCAAATCTTATCCTCTTTGTAAGCTCAAAAACATAAATATCAAATTTTCCTTCAGTATTTCCTTTGGCCGACGATACCAAGCAAGTCCATGAGAATTGAATAATTATTGGTGATAACAAAGTCATGCATTGCAATAGGCTCTAGATTTGTTATCAACACTGAATTGCATATAACACCATCCCCGGCAATGACGTAATAGATAATATATGGCAATGCATGTAAATAAGCAACTGTAAACATCTCGTCAGTGAATGGATCAACTTTCAACTGAGTAGTAGATGATTGTGTAAGCTTCTTATCATAATCTAGCATTCCAAAAGTTTGCAGGTCTCCATCTCTTAAAACTTTGATAACATCTTTGAGTCTCAATTCAGGAGCGAAATCAGTCATAATTTTCAAGAGGGGCAAACTTATAAGTAATTGTTCGCATATATGTCGGGGGTCCAAGGGGACAGCGTCCCTTGGCGGGGTTCGACCTGCCCGGTCAAGTC